CGGGCCGGCCCCGGCTGCTGTGCCCTCCTGTTTGGAGGGGAAGGGCCCCGGGGAGCGGGCGGCCATCCTCCACCAGCACCTCGGCCGCAGGGAGATGACCGACGTGATCATTGAGACCATCCAGCCGCGGCCAGGTACCGGCCTCGGGGGGACGAAGCGCCTTTTTTCGGGTCTGCGGTTGTCGCCCACCCTGCTGGGGTGGCAGCCCCTTATTGCGGAAGGGGAGCGCAGCGCTTCCCAGGCGCTGGCCCCGCCGGTGACAGCTGTCTGTCGGTGTGGGGGGTGGTGGAGGTGCTGCTGGGCGTGCGGGTCTTGAGTCAGTCATGCGGTTCGGAAAACAAGTAGGGAAGTTAAGGAATGAGTGTTGGGGTCCGGATGGGAGAGCTGGTTATTGCTGGCAAACGTTTCCCACTCTGTAAAGGGTTAATTTACTTCGGGCTGTGCCGCGGGCTGGTTGGTGTTTTGCTTGCCAGCGTTGCTGGCCCGTAGGAATGGGACTGTTCAGCTCTGCAGACGTTAAATTCCCTGATAGAGGGGAGGTTTCAAGACGGAAACTCCCAAGTCGTGTCGAATGTCCGAGCCGCCATCAGAGCAGCGCAGGAGGAGCAGCTCGCTGCTGCGGGGCTCTCCTCGCCCGTGCTCGGCAAACCTGTCCTGGTTGCTTTGTGCTGATACCAGTGCCTGTTGGGATTTCACCAGGCACGGTACAAAACTCGCCTTAGCTTGATCCGCAGCACCGGGTCCGGCCAGGGGCTTGCGCTGGATGTCTGGCAGCTCTGGAGTTTCTCCTGGAACAGCAAAGATGAGAGGTGTCTCGTTCTGCTGCTTTCCAGGGTTGTAATTTGACTTCTCGGGGTGCTGTTGTGTACATGCAGGCTGTGCTCGGGGAACAGCAGACGTTTCTGATGCGGCATTAGTAATGTGGAAACTTTTGATTTGTAAAAGATGAAACAAAAGCTGCCATGGAAGGAAGAAAATCTTCAGAGGCTGCATTTGCCGAGGACAAAAATAAACATGACGATCAAAGTAAAGAGCGTGAGGCTGCTCCAGACTCGCCTTCAAAACAGCTCCCTGACCAGATTTCCTTCTTCAGCGGGAATCCCTCAGTTGAAATCGTTCACGGCATTATGCATCTGTACAAAACAAAGTAAGAATGCTTGACTAATTGTAGCTCTAGTGGGAACAGCGCTTCTGAATAATGCCGCCAGCCGGAAGGGTGAGTCTGTCACCCCGGGGCTGTGGCTCCTGAGCTGGGACAAACAGGAAGGGTGACTTGCACCGGGGAGGGCAGACGGGTCCTTGTGTTAATGGTAGAGCTTGAGGCTGGCCCGGGTCCCCCAGCTGTGGGTGATGCCGCTCCAGCTGGAGAGGGCTTGTCCCAGGGCCTGTAATAGCATAAGACAAATGCAGGTTCCTAAAAAATGACGTTTGAAAGCAGCTTCTCAAGGGATCCCACAATTAAATTCTGATCCCCAGGGTCTTGGCGGCAGGCCTGAGGAGCTGTCTGAGGGAGGAGGTTTCATCCCGTATTTCAGGGATTACAATTCCATGCTGTTCCCCTGTAATTGCGTGAGAACTTCCATTTCGGGTCTTCTGAAGACTATCAGGAGACACGAAATGGGTATTTGAAATACTAACAAACACTGCTCGTTTGTTCTAGGAACAGTTCTGAGCATCTGTGGCTTGCCAACTTCAACTGTTTTCATAGAAAAACAGATGTCAAATTATTCCTGACAAAACCACTGAGCTGCCCAGTTCAATCCTTTACTAAAAAGTAATAGTTTCATGTGGGTACGTTGGACGCTTACCACAACCCCTTGCTTCTCTTTCTTAATGTCTACAAATGTGTAAAAGATGATTAAGATTGACAACAAAGCTATTGTAGTAACTGCGGCTGTTGGAAGTGTGATGTATCCAGCTCTGCCTTTGTCCTCGCTGAAATGACATGAAGTTGTGTCACTGTTGTCTTACCAGCAAGATGACCTCTTTAAAAGAAGATGTAAGGCGCAGCGCCATGCTTTGTATCCTCACTGTCCCTGCTACGATGACCAGTCATGACCTGATGAAGTTTGTGGCTTCCTTCTATGAAGTAATTGAGCACATGAAAATCATCCGAGATTCCACTCCAAACCAGTACATGGTGCTGATAAAGTTTAGCTCGCAGGTAAGAGCTGGAAGTCCCTTTGCTGTAGAAGGGATGGCGCTGTCATATACAGCTACTGTTCAGGAGCGCTGTCTGGCTTCGCTGGCCAGCTGTTAGCCAAGATTGCACTTTACCATCGGAGAAACAGTCCTGTCCTATTGCCCAGAGCTTTCCCGGGGCTGTTGACTAGGATTAGTCCCACGCCTTGACCTGGAGGCAAGTGTCTGCCATGTTCTAGCTATTCTATTTCTTGATGGCAGGATATTTAAAAAAAAATAGTAAGGATACACAGCGCTCTGCTATCTCAGAGCATACTCAGAAAGGGAGTGATGCATTGCGCTATGCTGAACAGAAAGGACCCAGCCAGCGGGGCTTTCTTTGCATTTTAGGAAAGACTTGTTCTGCTTTTGTGAGGAGCTGGGTGGTCTCTCAGCCACTGCCAGTACAGTGTGAAAAGGACAGTCTCCCCCAAAACTGAGAGTCTAAGGGACGAATTGATAACCAGATACCACAGTTTGCTGCTCACGTGTCTTCTTGAACTATGTAGCTTTAAGCATTCCCCCCTGCCAATTCCTGTGTGGACCCTCTCACTTGTACCTTCTTTTCTCCCAGTTGCAAATGACTGATTTTGGGGTTGGGGGAGAGGTTTCCCCCAGCCGTGAATACCGTGTGAGATATTTCCCGTGCCTGTTGTGCAGATGCAGTATTTGTGTGCGTTTTGTGCTGCTTGCTGTAGTGGCAAAGATGCGTTTTTGTATATCGCCGTATCAAATTTCACGGGTGGGTATCTAGTGCTAAACAGCCTTGCAGCAAATCTGTAAACGTGTACTCAATTCACCCTGAACTTCCTGTTTCTTAGGAAATTCCCTGAAGCCCTGTTCCCCAGTAGCCCCTAAAGGCAGCAAAAGCAAATCTCATGGGCCTTTACGCTTCTGGATGGAGTGACCAGGAATATGGGAGTGTGGCATTCAGCTCATTTGCCTCAGTCTGGTGTGATCGTTTGTGAGAGAAAGGATTTGGGGAGGTTACCGGGTGAAAATGGATGATGTGTTTGACGGGTTTTGTTTTGGTTCTGCCTCTTCGCAAGCGATTCTCGGGCATGGTTCAGAGCGTGCCTGAATTGTGACCGGTGAAATGGATCCTTTCCCGCAGTTAAATTGTTGTTCCTTTCCCCGACACAAGTATCAGTGTCCTGCAATGTGGCCCTCTTAAATTTTTGCAGAGACCAAATTTGCTTTGCAAATGCACTGAAAATGCTGACAAAGGGCAAAGCAGATGCTGAAGGGAAATCCGTTATTCCTGCTGAATGCTCAAATATCAGAGTAGCTGTCACTGCTGTGAACTTCGCTTCTTATCTTCAAGTGGTAACGCTAAACCCACTGCCAAGATGCAATGCCTGCTGGCAGGAGCTGGCTGTCTGAAATATCTCCCCTGGTATTACAGGGCTTGGTGGAGGGGAGAAGAGAGGATACAGCAGATTTCTCCTCCTCTTCCTCGGTTGTATCAGCTGCGGGTTCTCTCTTTTTAACTGGCTTCCTTTGTTTTGTGCATAGGCTGATGCAGATAGCTTTTATATGGCATGCAATGGGCGGCAGTTCAACTCTATAGAGGAGGATGTTTGCCAGCTGGTGTACGTGGAAAGGGCTGAAGTCTTCAAATCAGAAGATGTAAGTTTTGTTTTGTTTTGTTTTCCCTGCACTTCAGAGAATTTTAACAGTATTATTTGGACTGGGCAGAACGCTGCAAGAACGGCTTAACTGTATCAACCCAAACCCCGTTTCCCATTCCAGTGCTTTTTCTACTTGGGAGAGTTTGTTTGGTGACTTCGTGGGCTTCATGCCTCGCCACTGCAGCGTCTCTGATCTAAACCTGCCGTGGGTAGTAGATCTAGTGAATCCAGAAAACAGAATGGGGCTGGTGGCAGATGCAGCAGCTGCACCGAGCCCATGCTGTCGAGAGGATTCTGGCTGTGGTCTATTGAATGTTGTGGATCACTTTCTTTTTCAATAAATTTCTAACTGCTGTGTAGGCTCACAGGATTACTTTGTAGCGTTTTTGTACCCTAGCGCCAGCAGTAATGAGAGAGAAATTTGACTTTTTCTTACGTGGGTGCTTAATGTATGGTGATTGGAAGGTGCTGAGCAATTTGTCCCTGCTTGTCCTTTTGAAGGGGGCCAGCCTGCCTGTGATGGATCTGACAGAGCTCCCGAAGTGCACAGTGTGCCTGGAGAGGATGGATGAGTCCGTGAACGGGATCCTTACCACGCTGTGTAACCACAGCTTTCATAGCCAGTGTCTGCAGCGGTGGGAGGACACCACGTAAGAGGCTTTTCTTTATTTCCACATCTAAGACGCTGTTTGAGCGTGGTGGTTACATGCTGACAAGACTGGTTCTGCTCATCAGAGTGTGGGGGCAGGAATTACTGCAAGTTCTAATGCTCTTTTTTCCCATTAAGGGACTCCCAGAGAGAAATCTCCCCGCCAAAAGTAATTGAACAGTGTTTCCCCTGGGCCTCACTGCTAAGGCAGGCAGGGAGTTGTAGAGTAATGCTGATTATTTTAAAATATTGTAGGATAAAAATACTGGGGTAAACAACATTGGATGCGCACACAGCCCTGTTTCACTCAGTCTTGTGTGTCCGTTCAGTCATTCGTTTCCTCAGCATAGCTGAGGCTGCGCTGTAGGCAGATGTGCACACCTGGCTGGGGCTTAGGAGTCCTTTTGGGAGCCCTGCAGGGCAGCAGTCTTGCCTGTCTCACTTAGATGCTGGGAGAGGATGAAGAAGAGCTGGGCAAGAGCAGGTGTACAGGGGGACAGGACTGGAAAGTGAGACAGAAGGGAGGCGGGGAAGGAAGAGACGATGACAGGATCACTCAGTAAATCGGGAAGGGGAGGCAGCTGCTCTAGGCAGGCTGTGTTATTCCAGGCAGGTATGGGCTGAGTGATGGGAGGCCGTGTCACTGGCTCAGGGAGACCCTCCATGGCACTGGGCAGGGCTGGGGGTCAGACCTGCATCTGTCCTTAAAGCAGCTCTTCTTTTCACTACCGCTAACCTTTCCTTTTCTTGCTCTTACCATCCTTCACATCCCTGTAGATGGGGATTTCAGTGTGTCTGAGCTCCTGACTGCAGACCCCGTGACTGGCACCCAGGTGCTGCTATCAATTGTGCATATTTTGCATTCTTCTGGACACTGTTTGCTGTTTTACTGCACATCAGGCAGCCATAGATACTGCAGCAGAAGGCTGCTGATCTTCACTGTGTTTTCTTCTCTGTCACTGGTACTGTGATTGCCTGATTCTCTGATGGAGCGTGAGGAAAATTTTAGCCATCTGTATATCATTCATAAGCCAAAGTAACAGAACCTCGGTAAGATTAATCAGATTTGTAGCTATTCAAGTTTATGGGCTGCTTTGCTCCATAAATCAAAACCGGTTTAAATTTGAAGCAGTGGAGCTTAGCCCGTGCAGGAGCAAGATCCAAAATAGCACTTAAATATCTAATATACAATTTAAGCAGAACTTATGCTCCCAGTCTAGCAGAATGATAAAAGAAAATCCCTGTCCACTTTGCTTAGGCGCCACGGAAGCTGTAAGTGCCTGAATTTGTATAGAAAGCTGACTGCAATCCAATTGTCTCCTCCCTTGAATATTTCTGTAGCTTAATCAGCAGCTAATGAAAAATACATAAACAGTCCTGGCAACAGGATGCACAGCCTCAGTTACCCCGCTCCCTAGCTGAGCTTCTAGTGCTTAGGGTCTGGACAAAGGTTCCTTCTGGTCTTGGGTCTGCTGTCTTTCTGGCAGCACATTGGTATAGTTTCAAAAGGAATGATAGTGGGGTGCCTGCTACTGATTCTTTTAGGGTACAGTTACGGATATTCTTCCTGGAATCGGCTGAGACTGAATCCATTGGGTTGGGGTGAAATTGAAGCATCTCCTCATCTCCTTAGGGTTGTTTTAAGTACTAAGGTATGTTTACAAAGTGTAGGTACCTCCCTCTGTTATTTGGCTGTCCTCAGCAGTGTGTAGTTACAGCAGCCTTCCACAACAGTGTGTAGCTGCTGCATAAAACCCTGCAGGTAATGGAGAACTGAAGATGTCGGTTGGCAGCAGTCCGGAGGAGCAATGTTTAGAGATGTGTAACACATCTATACAAGTGCTTCTTGCAATATTTATGGCTGAGGCAGGGAAGTGTTTTTTGAGCTCGGTCGTGGCTTTTTTGCTTACTGGCAGACGCTGAGGTTGCTGGCAACCCCACTGAGGCTTTTGGTTGCAGATGTTCTCTACACCTGGACTGCAGCAAAACCAGATCGAGCTGAGACTGTGAAATGGCTTCGGAAGAACTGTTCTTTGTTCTGCTGTCACTTACTGGCTTTTAAAACAGTAGCCTTGTGTGGAATGGAGGCAAATTTGAGTGGGGTAAATGTAAGCCGAGAGATGTGCGCACATAAGGAGCATCCTACTGCATAAGGCATTTACTTTGAGCTCTCTGGCCCTCCTTTTAATTACAGTAATATTAAGATGGGGCTCCTTGTCTCTAATCGTGATGCTTATTGCCCTCTAGGTGTCCTGTCTGCAGATACTGCCAAACGCCTGAGCCAGTGGAAGAGAACAAGTGTTTTGAGTGTGGAGTTCAAGAAGTAAGTAGGTGGGTGGATGGTGGGTGAGATCTAGACTAGATCTGACTGCACAGCTGCTCTAGTTGCTTTTGGGGTTAATTCTGTGGCTGCTTTTGGGCTGATTTTACCACAGTGGTGTATCTGCTTTCCTTTTGAGTTGGAGTCAGTACTGGGAAGGGATCTTACCTCCCAGGTTTCCTCTTCTGACAAATGTTTCTGATTCTTAGAAAGAAGTATTAGCACATAAAGCTGATCAGAGCATGCGTGATGAGTATGATAGGAGGCAGCTAAACTAACACTGAACTTGGTGGTCCCTTCTACTATGTGCTCTTCAGAGCTTGCTTTTGTGGTCCTGCTGAGGTCCCTCGTTCGTTAGTCAAGGCCATTCTTCCATCCGTACTTGTGATAATCTATCAATGTGCCCAGCACCTGCAGGCTTGTAATCGGCTTGAATGAGCAGGTACCTCCTTCTCTTAGCCTTCCAGCTGAGCAAGGCTTCAAAGAAGGAGGGGGAGGAAAACAAACGCTGTTCGCTTTCTAAGGAAGTGACTGGATGTACACAGCATCAGCAGGCCATCGGTGTCAGATCACACTTTCTCAAAGCGCTGATACCACTGCTTGAGAGTGTTGTATGTACAGAGCTTTCTCATTCTGTTGACAGAACCTTTGGATCTGCTTAATATGTGGGCACATAGGCTGTGGCCGGTACGTGAGTCGACATGCTTACAAACACTTTGAGGAGACCCAGCACACCTACGCAATGCAGTTGACCAACCACAGAGTCTGGGACTATGCTGGAGGTAAGCGCTCTGTCTTCCCCTTTTGTAGGATGACCTTGTTTGTAAAATGGCTTTCGGGACCCCTTAGTAAGAGTACTTGTGATAGAGTTTGCTTGGGGATTAAGGGGCTTGCATCTGTACTAGTACCTTGTCTTCCGGGAACATCCATCTCCTCTCTAATAGCAGTTTTCGTGGGTCTGTAGCAGATGGAGGAGGGAGAACATGATTCTATAATGGACCGGGGCAGTCCTGTAGTCTCTGTGGAATGTGTTTGTTACTCCCTTTCCATCAATTTGCCCTGAGGTATGGGAATGAGCTGTTGTAATAAATATCCTGTAAGGTGTCTGTGCGAAGTCTGCTAAATAACAAATACATCTGTTGTTGGCTTTCTGCCTTGCTAATACGCTGTTGCAGCAGTCTGCATGGTTAATTGTGCTGCATAAAGTATTTCCACTGGTGTCAACCTGGGTGTTCTTAAGCTAAAACTCCCTGTGGTTGAATTTTCTCTCTTCAGATAACTACGTCCATCGACTGGTTGCAAGTAAAACTGATGGGAAGATAGTTCAGTATGAATGCGAGGGAGATATGTGTCAGGAAGAGAAAATTGATGCCTTACAATTAGAGGTAAATATTTTGGCTTGTTGGACTCTGCATTGTACTGCTGTGTGAAAGTGTTTCAAATCCGGATATGACTACAGGAAAATTACATCATCTTATGCAGCAGGCCTGCTGCCTGCATGTAGGCAATCATCTTCAGGCAGAAGCAGGATGTTTTTACCGCCTTTTTTTTTTTTTAAAAAAAAACCAAAAAACCCTTCTTGGCTCTGCAGGGCAAAGGAGGCAAA